GCTGGGGATGTGGCTCAGTGGCAGTTCACTTGCTTGCCTAAGATCCTGGGTTCAATCCCCAGTGCCAACAAAACATAAATACAAAACTAAAAAGTAATTAAACACTCTTGGAACTCTGCTGTCAAAATAAAAAGCTACAAAGGCACACATTTCTGATACCACCACTCGCCAGGCTATTTGCCTTGCAGAATTGAGTTTTCATAAGTTGATGTCTTTATTTCCTGTTTGTGTCCGTATTTATAGCCCGCACACCCTTCCTTCTTCTGGGTTGCACTATGAAAACCTCCCATATGACCTTCACAGCTGATTGGGTTGAAAATCATCATATTGAACTTGTGTGCCAATGTGTGTCTTCTGAATAAAAAAAAAAAAGTGTGCATTTCTTAAGTATGCCTTTATAAAAGTGGAGTATCTTAAATAGCACTTATCATTTATTTCAGATTTAGCACTGAAAGAAGTTACTCATATGAAAAAATCATTTTCAATGGGGAAAAATAGATGAAATTGCCATGAATGCCAGGTGTCTGAAGCCACTGACATTACTTAGAGATCATCCATAAAGGAAAACAATGCAAGCACTGGGCATTGCCTGGATGGGTGGATGCAACTTTCTGAGCAACCAGTGTAGTATAGCTGGAGCGTGAGCAGCTTGTGTATGTCTGTCGTTCAAGACCACATGGACAGTTTCTCACAGTCCATTCATTTCACCTCTGAACATTGCTATATCGCCTAATGTGAGTTTGTTGAGGGACACTTCATATCCAAGCTATAACTCTGACTTATTCCTGAGAGTGTTTACTATTTGGTTAATATAAGAGTCACATATGCTAGAAGTTTAATAGCTATTCAAGGCAATTTACAATATGCAATTTATTCATTCAAATGTTTATTAATTTCCTGATTTATGCCAAACACTACTCTAGGCGCAGGAGATTTACCAGTGAATAAAATAGACCAAGTTTCTGCCCTCAGAGGGCTTACATTAAAGTTAGGGGAAGACAGATAATTAAAAAACAACTAATATGTCAGATGATAAGAAGTGCTTGAGAGAAAAATAAGGAGAGTAAGGTGACTAGAGAAGAAGGATATAGTTTATATAAAGTACTCAGAGAAGAACTCACTCGGAAGGTGATATTTAAACAGAGACTCCAAGAAAAAAAAAAAAAGAAAAACAGTCACCAGGACACCTAGGGATAGATGATCAGATGAGAAGAGCTTAGGTGGAGCAAGCTAACGCAAATTCCTAGAGGCAGAAGTACACATAGCCATTTCCAGAACCACAAACATGCTGTGTTTTCAGAGCTGAGAAAATGAGGGAGAGAACAGTAGTGATGAGATGAGAAAAGGTGAGTAATCCATTCATGGAAGTCCTTGGAGGCCATCGTCAGGGCGTTGACTTCTATTCTGAATGAGTGGGGAAGCAGTTTCAGGGCTTATATCGAGAAAGGACCTGCTTCTGATTTAACAGTTGCAGGCTGTTTAACAGATGACTAGTTGCTCCCTTGAGAGTAGACTATATGGGGCAGGAAAGAAGAAGTAAGACCAGTTAGGAGACTATTAAAATAACTCTGCTGAAGCATGGTCTGGATTTGGTCCAGGGGTGGTGGCAATAGAGGTTCAATGTTCCCCTCTTCCCCCAAGCCTTGGCCATGGTTTTACACCACAGTTTCAGTTACCTACAATCAAACAAGATCTGAAAATATAATACAGTACAATAAAAAGAAAAATCTTGAGATAGAGACCACATTCACATAACTTTCATTGCAATATATTATTATAATTGTTCTACTATCTAGAGGTGAGGTAAACATTTTGTGTGTCATCAACATATAGCATGGTGCATGAAACTGGATGAAATCACCTGGCAGGAGAGTGTGGATGAAATAAAAAAAAGACATCCAAGACTTGAGCTCTGGAGCACCCAGATATTTATAGTTTGGGAGACCAAGAAGGAGCAGCCAGTAAGGTAGGAAGAGGATTAAAAGAAATATTTTGAAGAGGATTTTAAAGAAGTACCTGGAAGAAAATATTTCAAGAAGGAAGGAATGTGGTCAACCAAGTTATTGTTGTATCAGAAAAAGACCCAGATTTGACTACCCAATTTCCTATATTTGGCATCATTGGTGACCTTGGCAAGAGTGGTTTTCAGGGCAGTAGGGCATGCAGAAAAATCTAATGAGATGGTTCCAGAGAGAATGGGAGTGAATATTGCAGCTGATTGGAATTTTAAAAATCTCTACAGTTATTATGGTCACTTTAAAGTAGAAATTACAGTATGTTTATTTACTGATGGAGGCTACTTAGTAGAGAGGGAAAATTGCTAATTAAAGAGACAGAGCGGAGAAATGTTGAGTGTTGGCCTTGAGTAAGGAAAAGAAGATGCATGTGATCTAGTGTACAAGATGAAAGGCTGGCCTTAGGAAGATGGAAAATTTATCTACAACTCAGGAAGAAGGCAGAGTACATGGTGAGTAATCAAGGCAGACGAGGCTACAGGAGATTGTAGAAGTTCTCTTTTGATTGCTTTCATTTGCTTACTAAAATAAGAAGCCCAGTGTCAGCGGGTTTTGCTGTAGCAACTAGCAACCTCCTTGACTCCTGTTTCTCAGCAGTTTGACACATGGAAGGTCTATTTCTCTTACATGCCAAATGTCAGTTGCTAGGGGGTGTCCTAACCTCATTCAGGGAGCCAGGTGACATTGTACTCCTCTTGCCAAGACTGGAAAAAAAGGAAATTGGCACCCAGGCTCTTAAATCCTGTCCCTTGGAGTGATATCTGACTTTTCTTCCACATCACTGGCAAAATTGCCACATCTAACTTCAAAGAGGGCCTGAGGAGTTCAGTGCTGCCCTGCTTCTGGGAGGAGAGGAGGCCAGAACATTAGTGAAGGGAGGAGGAGTCATTGGAGGGTTTAGGAGAAAGAAGAAGAAGAAGACATAAAATAGGTGTTGTGGAGCATGGTACAGTAAAAGGTTGAATCTTACTAGAACCAAATGAATGCTAAGGGCAGTGGGGATTGTGATAAACACCATTGGGATGAGTAACTGTAACATTTCATGATAATGGATGATGATAAAGGAAAGACCAGGGACAACATAGTCAGGTTCACTGGAAGAGCACAAAAGATCCAGGGGAATCAGGAAGATGAGAATACTGATTTTAAGGATACAGTGAAGGGCATCCTAGAGACGGCTTATGAAGCAACAGGCCTGCAAGCCAGAGGCTGTACACCTGGGACAG